CTGGGAAAGATTGAAGGTCAAAGAAGACGGGGACGGCAACGGATGAGATGGTTAGGCATTGTCATAGATGCAATGAACATGAAATTGAGCAAACTTCAGAGGATGGCGGAAGACAGGAAGGCCTGGCGTGATTTGGTCTATGGGGTCGCGGAGAGTCGGACTCGACTGTGCGACTGAACAACAACAACAACTTGACTGTCCTTCTCAGGGGCAGTCTTAGCCAATGGGCAACAGGGACAATTGCCCATAGCCCCATGGGGGCCTAAATGCCCAAAGCCCTGCCCTGCCCTCCAATTGAGATGGAAGAGAAGAAAAAGAGCAGGCTCCTGCTGCCATCACTCGCAACTGCCCTATCTGGGACTCGGGCAGCCAGCTTCCGGTAGTGGCTTCTACTCACCTCACATGGGGCAAGTGCTGCCCCTTCCTTGGCCTGGTGGGTGGCAGTGATTCTGGTGCCCCATTCTTGACTTTTACCCAGGGCTAAGACACCCCCTGGCCCTTTCGTATCCAAAAATGAGGGTAAAACTAGAGGGGAGGGGGGGAAGAGAGAGAGCAGGCATTAGTGCATTTGCAAACATTTGTGTAAAACCATGAGGACTAGAAATTTATTTTTAAAACTGACGCGATTCAAGGTGTTTGATGCTAACAGGCAAGATAAGGAAAAAATGTGTATGTGCACAAGAATGAGAACTTTATAACACCGCACATTTTCTTCCTGTAGCAGCTGGGCAAGTGTGTTAGCAGCTGTTTTTCTCTACTTTTGATTCTTGGGCTTCAACCCAGAGTCTGTTATCCATGGTCAACTGGAGGCATATGGTTTCCAGAGCCCCCCGTTTGTATTCTGGTGTGTCTTTTCCTGCCCTTTACTTTCTGGCTCCATTTACCAGAGTATAAAAATGTGATTCAACAGGCTTTCAATGCTTTTCACAAGTGCTCGACAAACATTAGCAAAGGGCAACTATCTGCATTATGGTCAGTGCGTGTGCTGCGTATTTTACAATGGAAGGGAAATATGGAATATGGAAGCCCAGTAAACTATTAATCCACAGCCTGATGTTGCTGCCTTTTGAAGTCTGAATTTTCTTTAAGTTTAGAAGTGCTGCAAATTGTCATACATATGAAAGCAAAATGAATAGGTAATCTGAGTCAATGACTGTGTCTGTACTCCTGGGTAGATGCTGCCATTTTAACTCTTGTTCTTGTTTCAGTAGTTATCATGAGGAAAATAGTCAATCAAAGCTGAAGCTATGAAATAGAATTGAACATTGAATTGAAAATTGTACTGAAAAGTAATTTTGGTGCAAAATGTTTTGCAAATGTAGATGTTAAGTGTGAAATGAATGCAGCTAATGACCATAGCTGGAAGAGTTATGCACTTGCTGATCAGAAGAATATTATTATAAATGAGGTTGATTTTTCCTGTTGACTGCCTCATTCTTTTTCAACATAGTCTCATTATTTTTCTATCACATGTCTGACCCCTTAGATATGAAGACTCCAGCATAAACATAATAAAAATACATTAACTCCTGTAGAGCTTTTCGAATGTTTCCTGATGTGCACTGTGTAGTTGTTTTGTGTTTTGAAAAGTTTAAAATAGGGGTCATGCTTTTTCCACTGCAAAAAATTAAGACTGAATTTCCCATCTAACATCATGCATACTATTTGGTAAGCAAGATTCCTGCACTCTTAAAGGGTCCATGCCATCACGGGTAACAGCCCTGATTCAATGTTCCAAAGAATTAAAGGGTGTACAGCAGCCAGAGGAAGTTGGAGGGAGGAGCCAGCCAATATCTCACTGCCGACTCCTTCCCCCGTGGCCTGACATGGGGATGCCGGTTTCCCTTGTCACTGCTCCTCCCATTATGGGTGAGGCAAAGCAGCCCCCCCCCCCCCGCAGGTTGCCAGTTGGCTTTGCTGGTGGGGAAGCCATGTAAGTATTGCTCATTAAAACTTGGTTCAGTGTGCTTCTTAAACTGAATTACTGGCTCCTTAAGGTCATAACCTTCTGCACATTTATGTAGGAGTAGGTCCCATTGAACCAAGCAGATCAGTAAACTTGCATCATATAACATTGCAAGGTGTCATATAGATTTTCTTACAGATCTCTCCCCCTTCCCTAAAAGTCAAGCAGAGGATGGGGCTTCCCTTCCAAGGGTCAGCTGGCAAATAAGAATTTAAAGACAGGGGCTGTATATGCGGATCCATATGATGACAGTCCTGTACTGAGATTATTAATGTATTAATGTTGTACTTCATGAACGCTTCAAATCAAATTAGACTATTGCCAAGGTAGATATCCAGCTTTCCAAGTAGAGAAAGTAAGATATACCAAGTTCGGGAGAAAGGTGAGAAAGGTGGTGCAACCAGCACCTTGACGATCACTTTTGATTGTTGCCTGTGGTGTGTCTCGGATTTAGAAATATAACTGATCAATAACCTTTCTCTGTACATTCTGGCAGTAGTTAACTTAGATACCTTGGCATCAGATCAGGATTTTTTACGTTTTCATTTTGATTTTGAGTGGTATGTGTTTGTTCTTCTTTCCTCTGTTTTTGCTTGGTTTTATTTTTAAATTTTAGTTAATGGTTGTCTGAGGGTTTGCATTTTGTTTGGTTATTGCTGTGGTCTTCATGGTGTTTTTAGATCCATTTTAGGTAGGCTTGGCAGGTCACATTTTTTAAAAAATGGTATGGTTTACTTACCAATTTGTATTGTTTTAAACCAGCTTGATCACTTCAGTGGAGGGTGTGTGTGTGTGTATTTGAAATAAATAACAAAATAAAACATGGAAACCGCACTCCTGACTTTCATAACTTATTGAGAGCTGGTGAAGTATAATGGTTAGAGAGTTGAATGAGGATTTGGAAAACCCAGGTTCAAATCGCCACTCTGTCATAGGAGCCTGCAGGGTGACCTTAGGCCAGTCACATACTCTCCTCTAAACTACCTGATGGGGTTGTTGTGAGGGTAAAATGGAGAACAGGAGAATGATGGAAACTGCTGTGATCCACTGTTGGGGAGAAAGACAGGATATAAATGAAGTAAGTAAATAAATGGGCAGGATTGATCCTCCTAGTTCCATAAATATAGTAATATTTTAAATCGCAAACAAGGTCATGGTTTGAAATGTATAATTGTGGCTAAATAGCTTGCTAGGATTTATTTAATATCTTATCCCATCTTTCAGAGCCAAGGATCTCCAGATGGACAAATAATTTAGGCAAATAACGGGTCTACTTATAAAAGTTTATCTGAAACTCAAACAATACAACATGAATACACCCCTTAAACAGTTTCTTTCATATCACTAGAGAACCTGGAAACTCATATTGCTCATTGATTTGTACTATGAGGGGGAGGAGGAGCAGTCTAGTGCCTGCACTAGGGTTGCCAATGCCATTCGCCAAGTCCCAGTGGGGGTTCCCCCAGTTTTGGGGGCTTTGATCTGCTGCTGGCCAGCTTTCCGGCAGGGGAAACTCCATCCCCAAACAGGGACGTTGCCGCATGATGTCCCTGATGCAATGATGTTACTTCCGAGTGATGTCACATGCATTCCTCCCCCTAAGCTGTGCAGTCTTGTGAGCAACAGTTCTACTTTGTGAGCTACTGCCATTAAAGTTGTGAGTGAGTGATTAAGCTACTGCATCAATTAGTTTGCTCTGGAGCCATCCTTCTGAGCTAAGACAAAAATGTGTGAGCCAGAGGCTAAAAAACTGAGCTAGCTCACACTAACTTGGCTTAGAGGGAACACTGGTCACATGGTGACGCTCTAGTTTGTGGGCAAACTCTATGGTTTTAAAGGGGAAAAACCCATAGAATTTTGCCCAAAATACAGAGCATCATGTGCGACGTCACCAACTCAATGACATCACTTCCCGGTGATGTCATTGCATCAGGCCACCCACCCGTGCAACGTCCCCTAAATCCCCCCACTGTGACAGCAAGGGGACCTGGCAACCCTAGCCTGCACACATCCCCCGCTTGCAACAGCTTCCCATTCGTTTTAGTGGAAGGAGTTAATTTATGCACATGTTCCCTTCCTCCCAAGTCAGGTCTCGTATTAGAAAAAATTGCCTTTGATATAACTGGAGGTACCCCACATCTTTGGAGTGCAAGTTTGAGGTTGCCTGTAAAAACATAGTCCTAGTTTCTCTTCAAGGAGAGGAAAGTGAGCAGCAGGTGGATCAATAAAACAGCAGCTGAATCAATTTCCAGGTCTAAAAATACAATTTTTCATGCTAGTAAGCCATTTTCTTTAGGGAAAAATCTAGAGAGAAATTAAGCCAGTTTGAACATTCTTGGAAATCATAAGGAAGCAGAACATACAAAAGAACCTCTTTATCAGTCTGAACCAAAGCTGATCATGGCTGTGGTCTAAATCTATTAGTGATGCTCTAATCCAGTGTCCTTGGTGTCACCCGAGGAACAACCTGAATAGTTAGCAATAAACTTGTGCCTTATTAATTCAGGTTTGGAGATATGTGCTCAGGAAGTGAAGCTGACGTACAAAAGTTTTGTACCTATCTTTGAGCCGACAAAGGGCCCATATGAAACGGCAGGTGCATTTTTAGACAAAGAAAGCTTATAATGGTTTCCTATTTAGCAGGTTGACAGTGTGTCCCAAGATAACACAAGCTTAAAGGGCTGAAAGAAGCATGATTATTAAAGGCTAGTGGCTTCTCAGTTCATACAAATTGAATTCTTTCTTAGGTTGAAGTGCTATGGAAATCTACTGAAGAGAGCAGAGCATTGCAATAAAATTAGCATGTAAAGTGATTTTATATATTCAGTTTTGTAGCCACTAACTCTGAATTTGAGAGAGAAATCTCATTACTTATCTTGTAAAGGGGGTAATACTTAAATTCTCCATTTGCTGTCCTTGATATAAGGGTTCTGCATATGAATGATAGTTTTCTGTGGTTGCCCAAAGATAGTGGTTATTGAATTGATGGAGATCTATCTCTATTCCTCCCTACTCCTACCTTTCTCTTTTACAGGATAACTGATTTAGGAAACATTAAAAGAAGATTGTATTTATCAACGGTCCACAAGGAATTGTCTGTAACTCCTCTACATGCAAAAATTCCTCTCTTTATGATCAAGCGCAAAATTGTAGGTATCTTTCCTTCCTTGCTTAAAATATCAGTCTATAGTTTTCTTTTGTGTTATAACACGTTTCTTTAAGGCCTGTTACCCTTTGCATATAAGTAGTTGACTTTCTGACTGTTTCAGAGTGGTGATCTGGCATACTTATGTGCATGTGTGTGTAAGTGAGCTTTGTCATGACAGAGAGATCTGTCCTGTCCATCTCAGTATTTTCCGCCGGTTGTTTGTGTGCTCTAAATATGGACAGCACTTGGAGAAAGTGAATGAGACAGCACAAGTACTTGCCAAGGGCTCTGGCATTCTGCTTTGTCCGTGCCGTGCCGCCTCCAGGGACCAAGAGAGGTACAGAACAATCCTTCCTACAGGACTGTTACGTGCCGTATGAAGAGGCTGGATGCTGTGCCACTTGTGCTTAACTTACTGAAAATATTTATACCCTGCACTTTACATGTAAAACTGGCATAAGGTTGCAATAAAAACAGTAAACTAATGCAAGGGAGACAGATTTGTAAAACAAGGGCAGAAGAGAATAAAAACAGTATTGGCAGGTAAGTATAAAAATCAGACAAAAGCCATAAAAATAATCTGGCAAATAAAAAGTTAGATCTCTTGCAGGAAAAGTAAACACACTGATACAAGATATTGGTAGGTGTCTGATGCACATTTCTGTCTTCCTTTTGTGTGTGTTTTAGTGGGGATTTGTTTGTCTTTCTGCATTACAGTTAGAATGCTTATCCCCCCCACCCCCAATCATGCTGCTAATAATATGCAGTATCTTTTTCCAGCATGACTAAAATTGGTTTGGGGCCATTGACTGCCTATTAAAATTTTAAAAAATCTTCCAAGGATAAGGCTAAGAAAATAGTCCTGGAATTTCATGCAACATGCATAGCTTGCATGTTAATTCCACAGCTTTTTCAAAGAGACCTATAAAGTTTTATAGGGCCTTTCTTACAAGTTGTTAGGCAGCAGTTATGTTAATACTACAACTCCATTTTAATTTCCTGCTTTCTGGAAAATGTGGCTTAAAAAAATTAATTTGCATCAGACAGCCATAGCATGGAAGTGATGGTTGCAATAAAGATCATTGCAATAAATGAAATTTCCGGTTTTGGCAGTTCCAGGCTTGGACGCGTCTCTTCGTGCCCTGATGGAGACGCGCCAAGACTCGGTGGACAGGAGGGGTCCCGGACAGGTCTGCCCCCCCCAGTGTCCTTGTAGGGGACCGCTGGCCTGAGGTGCAGAAGGGAGTCTCTTTCTAGGTGTCGGTCAAGGAATTGGGGCTCGCTTTAACTTCAAGAGGTCCTGCCATCAGGGGAGCTGACATGGTGACCAGAGTATGCTGCTGGACAGGCGGGCAAGCGATTAAGTGTGGAAACGTTCCTGGATAACTTTTAAAATGATAAAAGTGAGTTAACCAATCCCCTGGTTAAGCATTAAGTGAACGTCCTTAATTCACTAAGCAGAGGTGGGTTTGGGGAAGAGTTTGGAAATCCCCCCCACACAAGAGTAAGAGGTCCATAGACTTTAAACCAAAAAGCAAAAAGCAAAACTAACAGTGAGAGACGTTTCAGGAGACTGAAAGGTGGAAAATAATCCCAAATGCAACTCGAACAGAGAAAGTTCATTTTAACTTGGAAAACTTTCTTCTTATGTAAACAATGTCTTGGAGGAGAGAAGAATGGCAACTGAAAAGAAGCCTCTTACATGAAATACCCAACCATCAACTCCAACCCCTCCACAGGCACAGGAAACAGCTACAGACTTCCCTAACATGTTAGCAATGGCACTGCGCCCTCTACTGGAACAGACAGCAGTTGTCACGTATGGACAAAAGAACAGATAACTCTGAAAAAGCTATCCAAAAATGGAGACAAAATTGAAAGATACCCAACAAAAACCAGATGAAGTAAAAAAAGAAAGATCTTCAGATAAAGGTCAATTATTACAACTTCAACTGGATAGATCTATGTGTGTGTTACGCTTTGAAGGCATGCCTGAACAGAGAGGTGAAAACCTAAAACGACTCTTAAGTGAAGCCCTGGCACCAATTACTGATCTCAAGCAAGAAGAACTACGGAACGATATGGATTTGGCATATCGGACTTATCCAGATTTTATCAAAAAGAATAATCTACCTGGCAAGCTATTTGTTAAATTCTCTAAGAGATCTACCAGAGACACTGTTTTAAAAGGTACTGCCGGCAAAACCTGGAAAATTAAAGAAGAAGTTAAAGTCTTAAAGGATATCCCATTTGAGGTGAGAAAGCGAAGACGACAATACAGAGCTTTAACCTCTTTTCTTCAATCCAGTACAATCACCTATAGATGGATATTCCCGGAAGGACTTGTATTCAAATATAAAGATAAAAAAATTAAACTTGACTCCATTCAGAAAGCTAAAAAATTTCTGGAACAGCAACAAAACCTGAAAAAAAAGGGAAAGAAGCAGAAAAGGAAGAAGAACAAAGTGAATCTGATTCGCAAGATTCATCAAGCAGCTCGACTAAGACATCTGGGACCTATGAATCAGAAAAAGGGACATCTTGAGACTTCTGACTCAGAGAAAGGTGTGGCAGCCCCGAAGCAGCTTAAAGTTAAACTGAAATATAAGAAGAAAAAGAAGAAACTGGATAAATGAACTGAAATAAACCATGCAACTCACCGAGTAATCAGTATCAAAATTAACTTAAGCTATTTTTTATAGAATGTCATAACTCAGCCTAAAATTTTTCCTTTCTATCGTACGAACATCATATACAGAATGTATCTTTTGATTACAAATGATCCTTGCCTTATTTAGCTTCTGTTTTGGTTTTAGTGTTGTTTCCATCCTCATGCCCTATAGAATGTACTGTAAAAAGCAATAAAAAAAGATCATTGTAATAAATTTTTTTTGCCTCATTTTTGTTTAGGTGGTTATAATGTTCTTCAACCAAATATGATCTTCAAAGGCTCTATTTAGAGATGAAATCATTTTGTGGATATTAAATCACCTATCCTGGTCTACTGCAACAATAGGAATCTTTATAATGTTAAGCAGGTTTTGTTTGTTAAAAGGTAGATCTAATCATCCTTATGCTGTTCAGACCAAACTTGTTGCACCCCCAGGAACAAATGTGATATGGATATGTGAAGCTGCCTTAAACGGAGTCAAACTATAGATCCATCCAGTCCAGAGTATGTATTTAGGAATTTTTCTGCCACTTCTCCAGAGGTCTGCTTGAGCAAAGTCTACTCTGACTAGCAGACTTCAAGCAGAGGCCTTTTTCAGTCCACTTCTAAATGGAGATGCATGTGTTTGGGGCCAAAGCCTGCTGAGTGCAAAGCATCTGCTCTGCGACTGACCTGTGGCCCCTTTCTAGGGCATCTAGTTCTGGCCTGTCACCTCCATTCCCTGCACCAATACTATTTTTATGTTTTTACCTCTCCTTCCTCAGCGTTCCTGAATAAACTATTTTAGGACATCCCTGTAACCATTTACATTTTAATGTACCCAATTTTCAGTATGTATGAAGACTCAAGGAACTTTAGGAAAGCTGCTCTGTCATGAAACAAACTGCAAATTGCATGTGTTGTCTGAGTCAAATTATGTACCACAAGTACCTAGAAGTAAAGTACTTAGAAGTGAACCATATCCGCCATGGTTGAAAGCTCTACAGAGGTGTCCAGTCCAATAAATGACCCACTTTATCATTCTTGATGTTAATAAATTAATGGTTAATAACAGTAATTGTTGCATCTCCTTTAACTTTCAGTTCTTATTTAAATATTAGCATTATTATTCTCAGTAGGAATGGAGGAATTCTGTAGTTTCATTAACACATAGTAACACTATCGGCATTTCTTGGGTTCAGTGTAATAAACTGTTTCTCTTGTGCTTTTATTCTTGATGTTTAACAGCCTGTTTGCCAAGTGTGATTTGACGCCATTTCAAAATGGTTCTGTTGTTGAAGCCAGATGGAGTGAGGCTAACTCTTTCAGGTTTTCCCATACAGCTATTTTTAGAAATGGCTTATGTTCTTCAGCAAATTGTGGTGAGCTTAGCAATATTACTAGTGAGCTTCGAGGTGAGTTTAGCAGTATTAAAATATGCATTTTTCTGGTTCTGATTTGAGGATCAAATGATAGATCATTCCCACAGTTATCACAGATTATTCCCCAGTGTTAATTTAGTGCTTTGCACAGAAGGGAGTATAAGGGTCAAACGGGAACCACAGTAATATATTCAAATTAACAGGTTGCCAGGGGAGAATCTGTTTTTGGTTGTCAGTCCCACAGCTGTAGAGCAGTTACTGAGAAGTCCTCTCTCTCTCTCTCTCTCTGTCCTCTTCCTATCCAAACCTAGTCCATGGCTATTACTGGTAAGAAGATGCTTTCATTTTGATCTCAGGCATCACAGTGAGACCTAGAGAAGGAGTTCATCTGAAGCCTTTAAAGACATAAACACAAGGGATGAACAGCATTGGTTCCACCATTTACCTTTATTGTAGCAATCCCATGAGTTGCATGGGATAGGCAAGCTTCTTTTCTCTGCCATTGCCTTTGAATGAGTGAAGAAACTGCACCAGGAGGAGCAGTTCTGCTGTCTTTGCTTTCCTACTACTTCTGTTAATGGGTTCTGAAAACCACAGGGGTTTGGACACAAGCAGTTCTTATGGGAAACATCTCTGCTCCCTACCCAAATCAGCCCAGTGATTGGCTGTTTCATCCTCTATAAAAAGCAAAGTCAAGCATGCATTTGTGGAAAACGTGTGTAGTTGGTTACTGTACCCCGGGGCTTTCACTCTGAAAGTGTTGCCAGTACAGTGTGTATTATAAACTTCACATTTAGCCCCTCTGCCTTCCCACACCAGGGATGACCAAGAAGGTATGGTTTGTGTTCTTTTAAATAAAACCCCAACACCTAAAAAAAGTTTCCTCCAGCACTTCTGGTCTGGAATCTTAATGTTTCAATAGTAGTTGCCACCACCAAGAGAAATGCTTTCCCCTCTCAGTTGCCACCT